GAGTCTGGCTGTTGAACCCTCGTTGGCAACAAAAGATTGCTGTTGGACTTTGTTGCCAACGAAAGTCCGGAGAAGGAGGAGCCGAGGACGGTTCAACTTGTTAGCAACGAGGGCTTGCTGCTGAACCCTCGTCGCCCACGAGTCTGGCTGTTGAACCCTCGTTGGCAACAAAAGATTGCTGTTGGACTTTGTTGCCAACGAATGTCCGGAGGAGGAGGGGCGGAGGACGGTTCAACTTGTTAGCAACGAGAAGCGTCCACGAGACGTCAACTCGTCGCCAACAAGAGGTGTCGTTGAGAGATTTCTTCTCTCTCAAAGACAAAAGGTCGTAAAATACGTACAAAATCGTTGTACAGTATTCAAAAGCCCTCGTACGATCGGACGTACGAGGTCGTCGAGGAGGCGTTGTACTATCCGTACAACCGTGTTGACAACCCGGACGTGATATTGCTGGATGAGGTTGATGTCCAGCTGTCCCACGTTGCGCAACACAAAGAAGAGAACAAGAGTGGCGAAGTAGTAGGTGAAGAATGTATGGAAAAGGCTGAGGGCCAGCTTGAGATCCAACATTGGAGAAGATCTCGTTGTTCCAGTCTGAGTGATGAGAAAGGAAGATGGTGGCAAGATTCGAAAGTCGGAGGGAGAAGGGGGTTAATATATCTTTTGGTGTCGCCAACATTTTGCAGCAGTGACTCCTTCGAGTCGGTTTGTGTTTGATTCAAAGGTAGGTAGACAGAAGGACCAAGAGGGATAGAGTTCGACAATCAACCTCAGAGATGGAGTTCGACGATCAACCTCGGAGATAGAGTTCGACAATGGACCTCTGAGAGAAAGAGATGTGCGAGGAGGAGAGAGGTTTAATCTGACAGCTCAACCCTCGATGGGTCCCGCTCTTTTCAAGACAGCAAACAAAACTGTTCGCCAGCTATCTGTTTCATCCGTTAGCAATGCAGCAATGGAATGATCAGGATGTGACATCAGGTATTCTCACCGTGAAGCTTTTGATCCAAAAAAGTAATGTTGAGAAGTCGTGACGACAAAGGTTATGCAGCAGGAAAAGCCAGAGACAAGAATAGAGTCGACGAGAGAGAGATAAAGGTTAATCTGACAGCTCAAGTACTCGATGAGGTTCGGTTTCGGCGAGAACGATAATAAGAGAGCGTTGATTGACAGTTGAACCTTTGATGGGGTGAGATACGGCGGAGAACGAGAATAAGGGAGCGTTGACTGACAGTTGAACCCTTGATGGGGTGAGATTCGACGACAACGAGGATGAGTGAGCGTTGATTGACAGCTAAACCATCGCGGGGAATTCGGTTCCGAGAATGAGACCTTTTGCAAGCTTGATTTTTGCCTTTCATGCAGTAAGAAAAGGTAATATTTGGTCGAAATAGGTACTAGCCAAGAAGAGAGAGGGAGAATGAGCGAAGAGAGTTTTCTGGCAGCTCAACACTCGGCGGATCCGTTTATATATGCCGTAGGAAGAAGAGCTGAAATCTGAATGGCGGACCAGACTTTCTCACCGCGATGTCTCAGCCGGAAAGAGAAATGATTGTTGAGTGATGACGGTATTTCCGGAAAGGCCGGGTATGATTGAGGTAGGGAGTACATCAAGAGAGAGAAAAAGAGAGGGAATATCTGACAGGTGGATTTTCGACAGGTTCCTTTATGCATGCCGAAAGAGTGGTACTGAATCTGAATGGTGGACCAAACATTGCATTGCAAGTGTCTCAGCCCGAAAGAGAATTGATTGCTGAGTGATGACGGGGAGTTCGGAAACGCTGTGTATGATCGAGGAAGACAGTACACTAAGAGAGAGAGATTGTCGGACAGCTGAACACTTGACGGATCCGCTCATGCATGCCGCAGGAGTGGTACTGAATCTGAATGGCAGACCAAACATTTCACTGAGAAGAACTAACTCGAAAGAGAAATGAGTGATGCTTCGTGAGTCATGGACCCCAACCCAGAAGCAAACATGCTGCAGCTGAACTCGGTGTATCCGATCGTGCCTCCTTTTGTCTCGTGCATGCATGGCATGAAGCAGAAGAGTGAGGCATCCGAGGTGGGTACTCGAGCCTACCTCGACGCTCAATGAGAGTGATCGACTCGAAAGAGTGGGTTACCAAAGGTGTCGGCCGAGTGATGACGGCAGCGGCAGCGAAAGAGTGAGGTTGTAGAACTCGGTGTATCCGATCACTACTCCTTTTGTCTCAACGCATGCATGCATGCATGCAGGAGGAGAGAGATATCTGACGTGGGTACTCGAGCTCAGGCAGCCTCACTGAAAGTTCTTTTGACTCCGAAGAGGGGAATGGCAGTGAGAATGGTGACAGGTAACGAAGATAGTACGGATGTTTGAAGGGGCGCAGCTGATGGTTGCCTGTTTCCCCCCTTGCCTGCAGTCAGGCGAGGTGGAGTTCATGATCGAGGCAGAACAGAAAGCGATGGCGAGTCCGGATGTTGAAAGGGTGCAGCTAATAGTGCCGTTTTCTTGTGCATGGAACAGGTAAAGTGGAGTTGTGATCGAGGCAGAACAGAAAGCGATGGTGAGTCCGGATGTTGAAAGGGTGCAGCTAATAGTGCCGTTTTCTTGCGCATGGAACAGGTAAAGTGGAGTTGCGATCAAGGCAGACAGACAGTAAGGTGATGATTTCCCACATTGTCCGAGGAGAAGGAGAGGCTGATTTGTGATTTGTGCAGGGGGGCAGCATGCTAGTCTGCCTCACCGCAAAACGCCTCTACGACCCGAAACTGTTGAAACTGCAAGGGGGTTTTGCTTACCAGCTGAATTGCGAATGGGTCCCCGTCAAGCCTCCTCATTTTCCCACATTGCATGCAGAGGCCGAAATGTGTAATGTGTTTTGTGCAGGGGGCTAGAATGCCAGCCTGCTTCACCGCAAAACGCCTCATCGACCCGAAAGTGCTGGGACTGCAAGGGGGGGTTTGCTTGCCAGCTGAACTGCGAATGGGTCTCCGTCAAGCCTCCTCATTTCCCACATTGCATGCAGGGGGACCAGCATGCTAGTCTGCCTCACCGCAAAACACCTCTTTGGTGAAAGTGTTGAGGGCTGCAAGGGGGTTTCCGTGTGTCAGAGTGGCCTCCCTTCTCTCCCACGTCCGTAGAGCGGAAGCGGTGTGTGGGCCATCGGCATGGGTTAGCAAACATGAGAGAGAGAGAAAGAGGGGTAAACGTACCAGCTGAACACTCGATCAGTCCGAGCTGGGATTGACGGTTAGGCTGGGATTGACGGTTAGGCTGAGGTTGTCCGTCAGGCTGGGATTGTCTGTTAGGCTGAATATGATCACAGGCCAAAAAAAACTCCTCGACTGACGAGAAGAAATATTGTCATGATCCTGATCATGTGACTAATTAGTGCAGTTCGTCAATCTCACGACTATGCGTTTGAAATGACGGAATTTAGTACGAAGGATTTGAGGTCACAGCGCAGCGTTGTGTGTGCGCCGCGGGCCGAGGCTCTTCCCTAATAAGACTAGTGCAGCAAGTAGGTAATACCAGTCACATGATCAGGTCATATGTAGAGTCAGGCGGGATCTAAAGGCTTCATGGCTGGCTATTGTAGGGCTATGGGTAGCTAAGCAGCTGATCAGCAAGCTGTATCTCTACAATTCCCATACAAGCGAAACTTGTAACCCTTCCAACGCTTCTCAACGCATCGAGGTTGTCCCAAGGAGCCTTCGCCGTCTGTCAGGATGCTGATCATGTGACTAGTGCTGCCTAACTTACTGCGCTAGTCCTATTCGGGAGGTGCCTCGGCCTGCGCGCACACACAATACTGCGCGCTGCGGCCTCAACTCCTAGTTTAGCCCTCCTTCGTACTGAATTCTATCATTTCAAACGCATAGTCGTGACTGATGAATGAACAGACTTGAATCACTTGATATCATTCTCTATGAAAGGATGCGATGTAAAAATAAAACCAGGCCAAGTGCTATGAGGCAGTGATTCGGCGGTGCCAAGACTCATCCTTGTACGTGACTTGGGCGCACGTGACTGAGACCAACAGTGACACCGTCAATCATGCCAGCACGTTTCCAGCCCTCACCAGAGGATACTTGCCCAGAGCTACCAAATCTTTTGTTTTGTCACTGAGCCGTTGCCTCTGCTTCGTGACATGGTACAAACCGACTTGCGTTCTTCGGAATTCATTGATGCTAGTGCGAAGGAATCCGTTGTTGTTGTTGTGTCCGAAATAAAAGTAGCTCCCATCTCAAGTCTTTCTTCACCGCTAGAATCCCAATTGCACCAAGGCAAAGGACTGTTGACAACAGAAGTCTCCAGTAGAACCAAAGGGTAAAAGTCCCCCTTGATTTTGAATACAAACCATGAAAGTGTGGCCCTCCTGGGTGTTGCATGCGTTTAACCATGGCGTACAGTGCTTCGTCCTCGTTGCACGGCTCCAGACGTCCGTCTTTCTTTCTCATCGAAGAGTACTCCGTAGATTCGTTCAGCTGCTGAAGCCGCAGCCGTTGTAGTTGCCATATGTTCACCAGCGCCGCTCATCACTGTGAAGACGGCCCGGCCTTTGTGCTTCATTCCTCTACCCCCTGGAGGCGAGGACTGTTGACAACCCCTGGGTGTTGCATGGTAAAAGTCCCCTTGATTTTGATTTCCAGTGTGAATACAAACCATAAAAGTGTGGCGCTCCTGGGTGTTACATAAACTTGCATAAACTCTCGCTTGATCATGGAGTACAGCGCTTCGTCCTCGCGGCCTCGACAACAGTTCTGGACCGTGTCGACCACCTGTGTAACCCCTAAAGGGCGGCGAGGTTTCATGGCGTCGTCCAGGTCGCCAGGAGCTTTCGCAACTCTGCGTTCTCCTCATCATTTCCACCATAGACATCCATCTGGCCGCAGCCATATGCGGACACCGGTAGTTGAAATCGTTGTCAAATGGATGGCCGTCTCTGTTGAGGTTATTGGTATCTCGGTTCTCGCCAATCTCATCGTTTCCACCATAGATATTCATCTGGCCGCAGCCTGCACTTCGAGAATATGCGGACACCGGCAGTTGAAATCGTTGTCAAGATGATTAGCGTTTCTGTTGAGGTTGTTGACATCTCGGTTCTCGCCAACCTCATCGTCCGCGGGGTTATCTGATATCTGTACCGAGGACGCTCTGGCGAACTTCTAGACATCTGTCGCTTTCGATCCCTTGCGTCTGATCTTACTCACTGTCGGTAGACATGATGCTGTTGCCAAGCATGTCCAGGATGAAAACCTCGTCTCCGACTCTGATCCTCTCCCGGGGCCCCTACCCATGGACCATGTCTATCCAAGAAGATGAAGGTTGCACAGTGACGTCCGACTCTGCCTGGTGCGGATTGTTGCTGTTGCTAGTGCTGCTTCCGGTAACAGTGATGGTCATCGGAGTGGTGTCAGTAGTGACGGTAGTCATGGTCTCAAGAGGGTGTAGTCTCGATGCCAGTGGTGGTTGATCCGACGTCTACCTGCGTAAAACTAAGAGGTAGCGAGGTTCCATGACGCCGTCCTTATTGCTAACGTGGTTGGCGTCTCTGTCAAGGTTGGTGACGTCTCGGTCCTCGTCAACCTCATCAGTCGCTTTCGATCCCTTACGCCTGATCTGGCTGCTCTCTTCCTGTCAATCGTACGCTCTGGCGAACTTTTAGACATCAGTCGCTTTCGATCCCTTCCGCCTTATCTTGCTGCTTCCTTCCTACCACTCCCTTCCTGTCAAGCACTAGCAAAGACCTGGGACAGTCTCTCTCTGCCATTGGTCGAGAATGATATGAGGTCAAGGTAAAACCTCCATACCTCGTGAGCTGAGGTGGTCTTCTTCAAAGCTCCCAGTCTTCGTCGGAATGGGGAATGAAGAGAAAACAATTCTAGATCGTGTTGACCACCTGCGTAAAAGTAATGACGACGAGGTTTCATGACGTCGTCCTTGTTACCAAGGTGGCTGGCCGTCTCTGTTGAGGTTATTAGAATCTCGGTCCTCGTTAACCCCATTATCTCGTTGAGCTGAGGTGGTCTTCTTCAGCTCCCAGTCTTCGTCGGCATCAGATTCGCCTTGTTTTCCATGCTCTGCTTGAGCTTCTTGGAGATACTCGTGTTGTATCTGGTTCCGTGCGGCGTTCTGAAACTGGTGTTTTATATGCGGCAATCTCGTGAAAGCCTCTCCTGGCGGCGAGATATTCGGTGTTTAATGGTGAGGATGAGTCGTCCCGAGAAGAGAAAAAGAAACATGAGAATGAAACAGTTCCAGACTGTGTTGACCACCTGCATAAAGCTAAGAGGTGACGAGGTTTCGTAACGTCGTCCTTGTTACCAAGGCGGTTGGCGTTGAGGTTGTTAGCATCTCGATCCTCGCCAATCTCATCGTCCGTGAGGTTGTTTGATGTATATACCGAGGGATGCGAGTACGCCCCGGTGAAGGTCTAGACATTAGTCGCTTTCGATCCCTTACGCCTGGCCTTGCTGCTCCCTTCCTGTCAAGCAATGACGAAGACCTGGGATAGCCTCCATGCTCCACTTGAGCTTTTTTGGAGATACTCGCGTTGTACGCGTTGTATCTGGTTCTGTGCGGCGTTCTGAAACTGGGGTTTTGTATGCGGTATCCCCATGTGAAAGACTCTCTTGCCGACGAGATATTCGGTGTTTGATGGTGAGGGTGAGCGTCTCAGGAAGGGGACGGTTTCGGACCGTGGCCATGAGGTCACTCAGGAGAGGAAAAGGAATATGAGAAGGACGTCGACCACCTGCGTAAACCCAATAGGCCGCGAGGTTTCATGATGCCGTCCTTGTTGCTAATCACACTGGCGTCTTTGTATCTGGTTCTGTGCCCGCTCTGAAAACGGGGTCTTGTATGCGGCAACTTTATGGAAGCCCCTCTCGGCGGTGGGATATTCGGACATGGATTTGGCCAAACGACCAGAGAAGTCGGGGTTTGCGCCTCAGGTCTGATGGTGAGGGCGAGCGTCCCTCTTGACGGCGGGATGTTCAACATAAAGTCTAGACACGTTGGACGTGACAGCCCGTCTGAAGTAGGGTGCGAAGACGTCCATGCCGTCCTTTGGAGTTAAGCAACTTTCTAATCTTTTCCGCCTTGTACTCCCGCTTTGCTTTTCCTTCTCTTTCACTGATTGTGTCAAGGAGGAGGAGAATTCGGTGTTTGATGGTGATGGTGAGCGTCCTGAGTAGGGGAAAAGAAATATGAGAATGAAACGGTTCAGGACCGTGGCCATGAGGTCACCCAGGAAGGTAAAAAGGAATATGAGGAGAACGTCGTCGACCACCTGTGTAAAATCAAAAGGTCGCGAGGTTTCATGACGCTGTCCTTGTTGCCAACGTGGGCGGCGTCTCTGTCGAGGTTGTTGACGGCGAGATCCTTGTGTCAATCTCACCAGGCCGTTTTGATCCATTTCACCTGATCTTGCTGCTTCCTTCCTGCTAAGCACTGGCGAGGACCTGGGACAGCCTCTCTCAACCACTTGGTCGATGGTAGGTATTGAAAAGAAGGACGTCGACCGCCTGCGTAAAACCAAAAGGCCGCGAGGTTTCATGACGCCGTCCTTGTTGCCAACCACGTTGACGACTCTGTCGAGGTTGTTTGGCATCTCGGCCCTCGTCAACCTCACCAGTCTCTTTTGTTCCCTTACGCCTGATCTTGCTGCTCCCTTCTTGCCAAGCACTGGCGAAGACCTGGGACAGCCTCTCCCGGCCACTTGGTCGGTGGTAGGTATTTTGGGCCTCTGTTGTCGCCTTTGTATTGATTGTTGCAGTGTTGCAAAGTCCCTGGGTTGACAGAACCTTTCCAAAGCATCAGGTCGTCCAAAGACTCAATCCCCATTGAAGGGTGCAGGGAATCTGGGATTGTGGAGGTGGGTGAGTAGCTCCGACCGGTGCAGGAATCTGGGATTGTGGAGGTGGGTGAGTAGCTCCGACCGGTGCAGGGAAGCCAGGGTTGGTATAGCAGGGAGAAATAGTTAGTCCCGCTTTGGTAGATGGCCTGGAGGCGGCGAGAATTCAGGTAGACGTGTCAGAGACCTTCTTGCATGTAGGTCTTGATCGACGAGTTCTCTGACGTAGAAGTTGGTTGATTGGTGGTGTGATGGAAAGTGTTGTGAAATGGGAGTATTGGTGGTGTTATGAAATGGGAGTATTGGTGGTGTTGTACGAGGAACGCTGCGATGATGCGAGAGTAAATATGAGTGATGCGGGAGTAAACAAATAAGTAGCAAGGCATCACATGTTCTAGAGCCATGTGAGTCATACAAAGGTAGTTATGACACCTGGAGCGGATTCCCTCGAACAATACGGGCAACCTGTACACCTACTGGGCCCCATGACGAAAAAGATCCATGCTGGATCGGCGTCGAATGTGGGTTTCGAACATAGTGGTGATAATCACTTGGTGATCTCGAGTCACCAATTCACAAAACCTTGCCCGTCGGGCGCAGGGAGTGGATTCCCTCGAACATGTTATGTGGGTGACCTCTACACCTAACCGGCCTCATGACATTGGCGCTGAACGTGGGTTTCGATTCCTTCAAGCGTGCTCCTCCAGCTGTCTATTGGAGCAAAGGCCTGCTTTGAAAACTCTGATACTTTCTCCGGAACATAACCCTTAATCCCCGTCACCCGGTGCTCCCGTGGTTGGTACGTCAATACCTTCTTACCATCGAAAAGCGATGGGGCAAGAATTCAAAGCTGCCAGGAAACTCGTCACGCTGGGCTGACGTGGTGTGTCAAGCACTTCAAAAAGGTCACCACCCGGACGTGGGTCGTGCCCCTGGCAGACTTTCCCACGTCGCCGAGCAAGGGGGTTGGTTCGGAGAGGTCGGCGCCCTGGTGCCGGATGTATGTGCCTCTCGACCGAGTTGGCAGACCGTCTTGTTGCGGCTCGTTGTGTGGACAGTCCCATCGGCACTCTGCTGACGATCCCGCGACACCGTCACCACCAAAATACCTCGACAATAGATCGTGCCTGTAGTCCGAAGTGTTTTCGCAAAACGTAATCACGCTCTACAAGGACCGCAGCCTCAATTCAGTCTTGACTTTACTTTTTTCGCATCACTGCTCACTCGAAACTCGCTGCGCTCGACCTCTTCTCGCGTGCACGAGATGACACTTGTCTCGTCCTGCGCGACTCGACTCTTGTGAAAAGGATTCCATATCTTAAGAAAGGCCATGGTGAATGAAGAACCGGATCCTGGGGATATCGATGCCTATACCAAACGCGGCGATGGCACACATGATATCAAAGGAGGAAGACATCATGCCGTCAACATCTCTTGTACAGTACGTCTCGGGACGACCTGGTCCGAGAAAACATCGGCTTTGTCCAATTCTGCGCATCGGACTAAAAACCAATCCGTGTCGCCGACTTGCCAGCACGACCGCAGAAGCTGGCTCCCGAAATGGCAGCTCAAGGCACGACATCCAGAGCCTACCTCGATTGCCACTTCCACTGCGCCGAGTTGGCAGGTCGAGCCGGCCGAGCACCCTCCCTCCAGGGCCGAGCAGCAACGTGTAGTCGCCGGGGGAACGCAGTAGGCTCCGCAGGCCTTGTCGGTGGATCGGTGACGACGCAGCTTCTCAAGGTCTTTCCAGACCTTGCCAAACGACGCGTCTCTTGAGCTCGCTCGTCGGGCGTCGAAGGCGTCGAGCTGTATCTGCACATGCCGGAAGTCTCGGTTTTGACATGTCATCCGGCGGCGTTTGATTCCACCAAGACGTTGATGAATTTCACAAGGGCAAGATTCGGTCGGAAACAACAGCAAGAAGAACAACTGCGGCAGAACCTCTTTCCTCGAATGAATCGTCTTGCGGCAGTCATTCATGTCGACATGACTACCCGTCGCCGCCGTGGCTCCTCAGATGGAATGCCACCGCCCATCTCAATGCATAAAGTACCGGACCAGGAGCACAAAGATATGGCCCAGGCGGCGTGGGAAGTGTTTTCCTCGGTGATCAACGCGCAAGACCGATCGACAACGGAGCTTTGAGGATCGAGATTTCGGATCGGCCATTGACAATGACGGTTTTCGATGAGGCGAGTTCCCGGTGGCCGTGGAGATGTGCAAAGGCAAAGGAAGTGGAAGGAAGACCAGTACGTGTCGAGACGAGTGCTGGACGATATCTCACAAGGAGAGGAAATTATTTGCTGCGTACTTGGGTACCGTTCAAAGGACTGAAACTGGAAGGGCAAGAATAATTCGAGACTCAATTGACAAAGATTTCATCATTATTGACTTGGTGTACAAGTACGTTGAGTATTTTGAGTGTCGTGGTCACAAGTCCTCTCCGAATGGTATCTTGAGTTCGTTATTTGTAACTGCTATTTATCTTGAGTTTATTAAGTGAACATCCTAGATATCTAGGACTCGGTGCACTTTGGTCACTTTCTGCAGTACCATAATTAACCCTTCTGCTAGGACTGGTGAGGGGATTACGTAACCTGACTGGCTGATAAACCACAAACAACAACAACAACAACAACAATAATGTCACAACTATGCGTTTTGAAATGATCAGAATTCAGTTCAAACTCCTTGCATCGCACATGACAACATGATAATCAGGGCTGTGTGGTCGACGCACTTCGTCGTGGGCTGACTGGGTTTGGTGTGGCATCTATGCAACTTGTCACCCTTTTCACGCATTGGGGGGGCTCGGGGGTTCCCATTGCATCGCATCGATGCCGCGAACCATGTCGGAGGCACTTGGCTTTCGAGCGAACACCCGGGAGCCATGTATGAAGAAGGGCTGAACTACTGTGGCCGAGGCGCAGCCCGAATAGCACCAGTGCAACAACACTAACAAGTAGGCAGCACTAGCTCACATGATCAGGATCCTGACACTTTTCGAATGGAGATTTGAGTGTTGACGTGCTCGACCAGAATATCAAGACCAGGGATTTCGGAGGTCTGGCTTGCGCAGGCGAAGTCACTGATGACAAGGCTCCGAAAAACCGCTTTTTGGTTCTTCGCGAGGACAAGTCGAACATTGACTATCAGACTGCTAGTTACCACCTAGATAGCAATCGCAAGTCCACGCCACAAACGTTATACCTTACAGCCTCTCTCCATTTTGTTCTGTCTCCTCTTCGCCTTCCGCTTAGACCACTGTCATAATCTTCCATACCTTGCTTCGAAGATTGAAGAGAATCTCGCGTGGCCGCCATGTCGGCTTTGGCACGTTCCAATTCGACCCTTGCAAGCCCTATTCTTCGTCGGTCATTTCGTCATCACCATCAGAGACAACTTCAAAGTCACTCCGTATCATGACCCGAACGTGAGGTTAACACCGCAGAAGGTGTCAATGCATCTAGACAGTCGGACGGTGGCCATGGAATTCTGAATCCGCCTAGGAGTGTGTGTAACAACCATGGGATTGTCGTTGCGAATCGCTCGTACAAAAGGCCAACTTATAGGCCGTATACCAATCCATCCGGTGGCGGTCGATCTCTTAATGCGGACTCTGTCAGGCATGACCACACAACTCGAGGCTGTCCAGTAGCAATTTCGAAAGTCGCGGCGGAGAGATTTAGAGGACATTAGGATCTTGGTAGAACGCCTCCTGGTAACCGTTGCCTGTATGGGTCAGTAGGATGGACGCTTATAAAACGCCGTGGACGTCGGACCGTGATGGACATCCCTGTTGACAAGGTTGACAATGAAAAGTCCCTGATGCTACTGAACAAAGTAACATGCCAATCCACAATCGATATCTTTCTGCAGTCCTCGCCAAAGTCTCCCTGGCAGACTTTCGAAGACAGAAGCCCCTTGTCCGGTCAACCTCGGCGTGATGACCTGGCGGTGGGATGACGGCAATCGCATTCTTGACGTTTCGCGGCATGACCACTCTACATCTCGATCGCGGCGCCAGTAGACATCCTGGACGAGAAATATGACAGAGTGTTGAAGTATATCGACTTCATGTTCTGTTCATCCGAGAGGTCAATCAGGGTTTCGTCAGACATTTCTACCGGATTTATTGAAGTAGTTCTTCTCCTTGTCCATGTACTTGCCAGGATCATCTGTGGTGACAAGCATGTATCCCAACCAGGCTGCGTAACACGGCAAGAAACACTCACCACCGGCGACGACAGACGCGATCCAGAAACGGTCGTCCCACCGCCCAAGGCTCCGGTGACTCTGGGACCGGCCATGGGTGCCAAAGTACGGACCATTGCGCAACTCTCTCCACGATTGCATTCATTCGCTTTGGAGATAACCCAGTCACGACGACAACGGCGATGGCAGGTGAATCATTGGGGCGTCTTGATCTACAACGGTCGCCAGTCTTCCGTTGACATGTCTCCGATGCTGTCCTGTCCGGTTTCGAAGATTTGGTGGTCGGGCTCGCTTTCGACGGTACTCTCCCCAGAGATGTTCTGAACTGGGTATTGGATGGTCATTTTGTTTTTGGCTTTCTTTCGGGACTTTGTAGCCTTCGCCTTTGCAGCAGAGGTTGCCTTCTTCGCATTCGCAGAGTCACTGTTTCTCCAGCGTCTGGAGCTGCAGCTTCTTCCATCATCCAGAACAGAATATGCAAAGATGCGATCGACTCGATGGTGAGGTGTGTTTGCCGCCGGGATGCCGGATCAGCTCAGCTCTTGTAAGAAGCCAGAGAAGGCCTGCGAGGAGAGGAACAATGCGGATGAGATCGGTGAGACAGGGTATTCTCTTTCCCTGTTGCTGGTTTTGTGTCCGTCGAGTCCATGCAAAATCGTTCAGGCGAATGGGCGTGGTCTGCGAAAAGTCTGAAAGAACGTGTTGGATGAATTGAAATATTTCTTGGAACAAGAAAGACACAAAAGCGCCGAGTCTTTACACGGGGCTCGGATGACCGGTGGAAGGTTCGGGAATATATCACCCGGCTCATGGATTGCTCTTGTTCATGAACCCTTGATGTCGTTCAGGGTGGTGAAGAAGGTAAAGATCCTTCCACGGACCCTCTTGCTCGTCTGTCCGAGCAAGACCTTGAGCCCCTCGCCGGCTTTGGAGATAAAGGTAAAGAAGAATTGCACTCGTCAATTTCTTGATGGGGAGGGACGAGGAGCGAGTGGGAGAGGAATGACAGTGCGAGTCGTTTGCAGACCGTGTCGGCGTTGAACGGATAGACAACTTCGATTGCAGAACCGATCATGAGGGGAGTGTAGAGTGCGTTGATCGTGCCGCACAATGGACGTGGTGCAACGGAATGACATGGAGCAAGCGGTCTCGAGGTGAGAGTGTCCAAAGCTAGGTAACGGCGTACAGGTTCTTTCAGGAACAAGGTGAGAGGTCAGTATTGAGCCATCACCCTTCGTGCCTTGCGTCGATCGAAACCAGTTTCGGTCCGAAGAAACCGTGGGTGTTGAACGTGGGTTGAGGTCGCCATTGAGGATGACTGACGCCGATGATGTAAAAGAACAAGAACCAGGTCTTGTGGTTCAGCGAGTCCTCGCGTAGCTGGTACCACTTCCACACACCTTGCTCTCGATGCCGGTCTGATCGTCGCGCACAGGCGCAAGAGATGATGACTTTCTTCAACGATTGAAATCTGGAGTGGAAGGACCAAACATTTCACCGAGATGCACCGACGTTGAAAGAGTGAGGCTGTAGCTGAACTCGGTGTCATCCGATCATGCCTCCTTTTCGTCTCGTGCATGCATGGATGGAGCGAGAGAGGGTGCTCTCAAAGAGATCTGAGAAGATGGGTACTCGCGAGAGCCCAGACAAACCTCACCGAAAGTTCTTTAGACTTCAGGGAGGAAATGACGTTGAGAATCGTGACGGGCAACGAAAAAGAGTACGGATGTTGTAGCTAATAGTGCCTTTTTGCCCTCGCATGGAACAGGTAAAGTTGGAGTTTGTGATCGAGGCAGATGGAGAGAGAGTCTCGTTAACAGAAAGAACTAACACGAGAGTATAGGTCATCATTGTTACTACAGTGTCCAGTCCTGGCTCATTTGAGTGTTATGGTTATACGGATAACTGATCTCGAGTTTATTATTTACAACTTTAAGACATCGACTCTGTGCACTTTGGTCACTTGAAGATCCTAGATATTTTAAATGATTCAAACACTCTTAACCAATCAAATGAGAGGAGTGTGTCGGACAGTGACATCATATTATTTGCCAAGAATTATTTCTAGATGCCAGGAGAGTACGTAGTAGGGAGTACTCCGTAACTCTGGCTGTGACTGAATTGACCTGAACTATTTCGTGGCTGCTATTAGGAAATGACTAAGCCACCGTCAAAAAGCAGCAACCAACATACAAGACTGCGCTGCGGCCCTCAACAACTATACTACAAGTAGTTTATTCCTCCTTCTTACTGAAATTCAATCATTTCAAACGCATAATCCTGACACATTGGGATTGTCCCAACCATTCTCTACCTGTGAGGCAAACAAGTGAGGCTTGCAGCTGGAGAAGAGACCGACAATTGGGTTCGCACGCGCCGCACTCTACGCCCCCCTAATCCGGGGCTCCTTCTCGTTGTGCCTGGTAGGAAGAACTTGATTGATCCCAAAGATTCTTTCTTCAGACAAGACGAAATCGAAGGACAGGTTGCTGAGCGTTGAGGTTTGGCAGGATCAAAATTCTGCCGGAATGCTTCGCACCCTCAACCTTCGATCCTCGGGTTCATCATGACCAGTCATGGTTCATTTCCCAACGCAACGCAACAAGTCACAAGGCGTCTCTCTCTCTCTCTCGGCAGAGAACTTGGAATCAGTTGGTGAGTCTTTTGAACAGAGCAATCCCAAAGATGCAACGACCAGCTACTAACGCAAACAGTCACAAAGCCTCTCTCGTCGAGAACTTGGAATCGGTCCGAGTTTTTGGACAGAGGCAATCCAAAAGATCTAACGGTCCCTACTGTGCTGTCCTCCCACACCCACACGGCACCTACTGTGGCTACATGCACGGATGAAAACGTGGTCGCAAATGGGAATATGACTCATTCATGAATGGTAAGCACCATGGAGCAAATGCACGGCCAGCAGCTAAATGCACAACCAGGAACCAAGAAAGCACACCAATATCATCTTCCGGCCGGTCCAATTCCCCCTCCACAACCTGGAGAAAGTCCCTTCTCTTTGTTACAAGTTACAAGGTACGCCACTATCGTCCCTTGTCTGTATGTGTGTGTGGTGAAAGACTTACAATGTGTGAACAGGACCAGATATGAACACAACCATGACCATGTACACACAAGTGACATTGTGGACGTGGACCTCCACCGGCTCCGTCAAGGAATCTGTTGTCAGCATCAGTTCCCCGCCGGGCGGGGACTGACCTCCACAGTACGTAGTAAATCCTCACCGGCGCCGCATGGGACATGTTTTCAGCATCAGTTCTCCGCCTGGCGGGACCGGCGGAGACCGACCTTCAGTATGTACTGAACGTGTTCACATCTACAAACAGTACTTCAATGTCCATATCACTCTTGACTCATTTTTTCCCCCATTCATCGACAATCCAGCTGACCTCGGAGATGGAAACGACCGTGTGGACACCGCAGCTACCCTCAACCAAGAGAGATTCTTGCCCAAGCAGAGGTATGAGGTCCGGTGATGTTCGGATGCCTTCGGTACTGTCCCAAGCAGAACCAGGCTTGACGCCCCAGGAAAGGTTGCAATTCAAGGTGCGTTCGGGTGAAGAATATCCTATCTAGAGCTGATGTTAGCTAGGAATGACGCCACAATCCCTCGGGCCATATGTCTTGCATTCAATTTGAACCATCGAGTGCAGTTCTCGTTCTACCTTGGTCTTCGATCTTCCATCTTTCCAAAACATATGGCCGGGGAGGCTGAGTCAATTTGAGTCACCGGAAAGAAAGTTCAGGAGCTGGAACAATGGGAAAACGACCACGGGACGAAATGTTCACGACAACATTGGAACATTGTGGCCTCTTCAGTTCTATCGAGACTCATCCTGGAGGTTTTTCGAGGGCGCAGGCAAATCCCTGTTGCCAGTGTTTGAGAACCCCAGAATAGGTCTAGCGGAAACCGACAAAAGATAGCTGCGCCCCCCGAGCAGGCAGAACAAACCTGCAAAACATTCTCTGAACTCTTATTGATTTTGAACTACTTAGAATCACCACCGCCGTTACTGATGCACCAAACAAAGCAGTGGCTTAAATCACCCAAGTACCGACGACAGACAGGAAAATGACAAATCGACTCGGACGAGTATGTTGACAAAAGTAACCCCCGTCCAGCTGGATTACTCTCTGACATGTTAAAATAGTACAAATCCAGGCGACCATGACCTCCTTGATCCTCAATCTACGGCACAAGGCCTTGAAACATGACAGAAAGCCTTTACCACCAGCCACACACTACCTTTTACCTCCAAGTCGAGTCACAACGATATTGAGAAGAGAGGGATATATATCATGATACCAGCCTTAAGACCTGCCCTGCTCCTGGCACACCCCTAGACCTCAACGTCGCCACCCAGGGGACCTGGCAACGTCCGTCCAACACGTTACGCCCAATCCGACAACTGTGGCATCAAACCGCGGCCTCTGAGCAGACCGCAGGCGGACTCTTGCTGAGCTGAATCATGGCCCACGGGACGATTGTTGGTCGTTGTCGTCAACGTCTACGTCCCGACCACCAACGCGCAGAACTTGAATCTGCATCCTCTCCAAATCCCCCATCCAGCCCGGGTCGGTGCCCAGGTTGAACCAGGGGCGTGGTGGAGGAGCAGAAGCAGAAGCATCAGCAGCCGCAGCCGCAGCCAACACCACCTCCTCCTTCTCCCAACTCTCCCTCTCTCTCTGCTCCTTGACCCTGGCGGCGGACGTGGTAGGCCTCAGGCTCTGATGGCCCCTCGCGGCCGCCAGGGTCTCGGAGGCCAGGAGGCGCTGGTGCTCCCTGGCCAGCATGGCCCGTCTCGCCCTGGCAGGCTTGTCCTTGACCCGGTCCAGCACGGCCATCAACTCTCGCTGGAGCTTCTTGTGCGTCACCGCCGCCGCCCTCGAGCGGGCCAAGGACTCCCGGTGTGCCTCCAGTGCCTCCAGTACCGCGTTGACGGTGGCCTCCTGGGCCTTGTTCTGCAAGGCGAACTCGGCCAATGACGACATGAAGTGTTCGTAGATGGGTGGCACCTTCTCCTGGGCCTGCTCCTGCGAGGACTCGGAGTTTGACGACAGGATTTGCTCGTCGAGGGTTGGCAACTTCTTCTGCGTCTCCTTCTGCGAGCACTCGGCGTGTGACGACAGGATCTGTTTGTCGAGGGATGGCAAATTCTTCTGGGCCTCGTCCACGTCGAGTTCCTCTTCATCATCATCGTCGTCATCATTGTCTTGGTCACCAACACAGGAGCAATACAACAAGACCACTAGCACAACAACATAACACCACAACAAGACCACCAGCACAACGACACCACAAACCCAACAACAACAACACCACCAACACCACACCACGATCTTCTCCCACACTTGGGAAGAAGCCGACGCCATTCTTGAGATGGGACTGGCCAAGAAGCTACGTGGAAGCCGCTTTGGGATGAGGTTGGCCGAGTAAGTCCGAGATGATTCCCGGCCTGGAATATGAGGTGGCCTATCTGACTGTTGAGCCTTAGGATCGAAACTGCACCCTTTCGAGAGATGGTTGGTGGACACGACTATTCCAGACCGCAGCCTGGTGTCACCAAGAGGGATCTATCTCATTCCTTTGACGAAGCCATACGGATATCTGACACTCTATCACGAAGCAGAGTCTACTATCAAGACGCAACAGGATGAGGAGCACCATATATCTACAAAAGGAGGAACCATCTTCATATATACTCGGAACAAGCTTTGGATGGGATCACATCATCAAGAGAAGCTTCCAGGCTCCAAGCTGAGGTCGCAGGCAGCAGTAGCTGGCCGTTGCAAAGCGTTGACCATGATATGAAGATGATGAGGATGATAGCGTCGCTGAGAGGTATTGTTGGGTGTGTTGGTTTATTGCCAGGCACTTCAAAGGGCATTTTGTTGTGAGTCCTAATTGTCTAGGGGTGTGATGGTTGCAACTCCAGATGATCGATGAGTTGTGTTGAGTGCTGCCCCAAGGTATCTTGAGTTGAGTTGCGCTGAGGGAAGTTGAGGAGGAACTCCGAGCCGTGGGAGTTAGTCCTGGGCCACCCTCACTCACCACCTCTCCGTACCAAGTCATCCGAAGTTGTGACAACACCCAACGGAAAAAAAACAATTCTGTCTGACAAATGCTTTTACTTTTACTTTCTTTCCTGATTCCCTTGCCTGGCTGTCAATAGTGTCACAGATTCATGCCTCACGCCTGCATTAGCTGCAAGCCACCACCTCCTGCCAAACCCTCAGGTAGGTTGTTGCTGCTGCTTGCCTGCAACTTTCAGCCTCAACCACCTTTCCCTTTCCTCTTCTTCCTCTTCTTCTTCTTCTTCCTCTTCTTCTTCTTCTTCTTCTTCTTCTTATTTCTCTTTCTCTTCTGTACCACCACTTCTCGGACTCGAAAACTCCTCAACGCTTTTTCCACCGCCAGAAAACCCCCAGGTGAGACTCTCCCCACAACTGTGGTGCATTCTGTTGAGCACACAGCCTTTCCGTGACACCTCTAGCTGACACGTCTTCCCCAGTCTTTACCAGCTCGTCGACTTGATCTCAGCTTTACTCACTACTGGGAAACCGGGTGAGACAATCACCGCCGTATCAACACTGTGAGTCCTGTCGGGCAACACGGCATCTCCTTGACAGTTGCTGACACTTCCCAGGCTTCATCAGGTCCCTTGACTTGGTTTCGGCCTCACTCGACGCTTTCACTGCTGGACAACCAGGTGAGACTGAGCACACGGCATCTCCGTGACGATTGTTGACACTTTTCAGTCTTTACCAGGTCCCTTGACTTGATTCAGCTTCATCCAACTCTTTACTACTGGACAACCGGGTGAGATCTCCGACGTACAAACGCTGTGAATCCTGCTGACACTTCTCAGACCCCAAACTCTTTGCCTACGGTCTCAACTCTTTGCCTACAGTCTCAACTCTTTGCCTACGGTCTCAACTCTTTGCCTACGGTCTCAACTCTTTGCCTACG